TTATCTACCCATTTCAAAGCATATGTATAATCTGCTAATTATGAGATATACTGATCTATTTCAATTTACTACGTCTTCGTACTAATGAACTATCTACCATAGCTTACATTTAATGAATTCCCCCATGGGTTTTCCAAGAGAATCTTGTTTATTTCCCAGACTTTTCCCCTAATTATGCGTGTCAGTGACAAATTTCTAAAGGCTTGAATCTTATGTAACCGCCAATCCTCAAAAACTATCCGAAATAATTCTGTATGAATAAATGGCGGGAACTGAATGCATCCCCTAAAATTAACTCCTCCTTAGATGATGGTACCCAAGTATCTCCAGAGAATACCTATTTACGTAGTTCCCATTAGGTCTATGTGATACCAGTAACCTTCTATCCCCACAAAATCTGTTTGTATAAAATGGCGGGTATTGACTGTACCCCCAGAATTCCCCGGGGGTTAACAAATTAATTCAAGGAACCCCTCATTAATAGTTACCCATATATCCTCAGGGGGGACCTGACTTGCCCGACCCCTCTTCCAACCTATGTTATACCAAATTTGGCGGGAAAATTTTACCTATACGTACGGCCTTGACTACTTAAATATTCGATAATTTACCTGAAATACTAACTCTAATTTCCTATTATATGTGGGGTAGGGTTGGGTTGGAAATGGGAGTAAGGTGTTTCTAGGTTCAAACTTTTTTCACAGCCTAATCCAACCAGCCTTTCCTGAACAATTTTAATAGTAAAAGATTAATTGGGGGAGGGGAGGAGCCCCCCCCCCCCCCCTCCAACCACGATACCACATCTCTGATGTCTATGGCAGCGGATACATACATGCATATATGTACATACAAATTTATGTATCTGACAGCATCCCCCTTAGATTTCTTGTACATAAAACATAAAGTTGATTTGGACAAGCCCAATATAGCAACAATTTTGAAATATCTTCAAAAATAAAGAGGAATTAAGGGCTACAAACTGCTAAAAAATTCAAAGGGACCAGATTAATATTTTTGATCGGGTTAGAAGTGGGGTTTGGGTGCAGGATGTGTGGAAATATTTTGTGTATATTCCATATAGGCAAAAAGGCTGTAGGCTACACATCATTTTTTTTTAAGGATAGAAATTTGGTTGAAAAGGGGGGAGAAAAGTTGATGATAAATGTTATCTATTAATTTCATTTTGTTGCAAATGCCAAAAAAAGAAGCATTTTTGACAATGCGCACTTTTGTACCCATACTTACAGTCTAACTTTCTGTTTAATGACAAAAATATTCCTATGACTGGAAATAAAAATTAAGCCAAAATTCAAGTGTTATATTAGGTCTGCATCAGCCTCCTTGCTTACCCATTATTTGCGCCTCAAGTTAAATCTGTGACATCACACTAGCCGACACATTACATGTAGTAGAAAGTAATAATATTATTATACGCCAATGGTATTCTAAACAATCTATTACACTGTACCTTTTGGCATGAATGGAGAATTAATTAACAGGTTATATCAGAGATGAGCATATCAGTTAATAGTTATATGTATTACACTTTCCATGATTGAGTAACAAAAGATATACTGTATAATTCTTGCAATATTTTTTCTATAATAGTAGACTCAGTTAACATCACCACCGTTAAAGAGTTTCGATCTACAGCACTGCTGATTTAATTTCTCAGATTTTATTAGAGATCTACAAGTACCTTTACAGGTCACTTAATTAGTACATGTATCTCAAATTTAATTGGGCAAATGAGAATTTTGTCTTTAACAACTTAAATGACTCAAAAATGTATTGCATGTTCAACATGTTCAGGGTAAATTATTTCCTTTATCATGAATTTATTCTAATTTTATGGGAGAATATATTTATAATTATGAAAGTACTAGTAAATCAGTCTACACATAAGTAAAAATTACCTCAACTATTTGAATTACTTTGCAGAATTTATTGCATTGTCTTTATTACTTAACAATCATGTAAAACTTTATTTCATGGCCGTAGGAACGGGGGAGGGGCAATAATTTTGCCGAAATATAGAATACTAAAGAAAACATAGCTACTATATGCTTGTGCCCCCTCAATAAAAACGCCTGATGACCTTTCTTTTTTTTAAGCTTGTCAAGGAATTTTTGGTTGTTAGTGCCCCCCAAAGAAAATGCATGGCTGTCCCCCCTCCACCAAACTGAAATTGCTTCTTACGGGCCTGTATTTATTGATTTTTTTTAAATGTTTCATTTATTTATAAACCTATTAAGTGTTTCATTTTGAAAAGAAATATTAGAAGATAATCATAGTTTCAGAAAGAAGTTGAAATTAAATAATAAAAGAGACCCTAAGAAAAATTGCTTGTTGTCATTGTCAAGCTTGAACAAGTCCTGATTCATATGAAACAGATCCTGATCAATTTAAGCATTTTTTTTTAACATATAATGAAAAAAAAAAAATACTGTTTATCTTATGCAGTTGCCATGGAGAAATTAACTTGCTTATACTCTCAATTTAGTTATAAAACCATATAACAAGCAATATTTTTTTTATTTTTATAAAATTGTTATGCAGAGTCTACATATATTACTTGTATATCTACATATGTAGATTAGAAACTTTCGGTCGGGTTCAGTTTAATTTTGATCGGGTTAGTTAATACATTGTTGAGTCTTTTGATCAGCATGGACATGCATGGTTTGATGATATGATAATATTTTTACAGTTTCAATTTCCAAACTTTCCAGGAAAGTTTAATTCCTGCATTTTGTACAATGGCTATATATATGCCGTATATTTTCCCATGAATTTTTTTTTGAAATTATATTTTTAAAATTCTGACAAGATTTCTAAGGAAATTTTTAACTGCCTTAAAGGTCATAGGAGACGATACCTGGAATAAATTTTGCTATGTCTAGAAATTAGTTTCTTTTTTATTACTGATGCTATGTGAATAAGTCATTCAAACGAATTGGCAAGAGAACTGACACTACAGCACGTCAAAATCTGCCATCGCAAAAAACTATGTACAGGTATGATGACTTATTTCCCTTTGTTGATGACGTCAGAAAAGCCCACTTGACGCAATGGTGGATTGTTTATCATAACAACAGTACTAGGCCTAGTATAAATATATAGTATAAATATATAATGGTCCAGAGCGTGGCGTATAACTGTAATATAAGAAGTCAAAAGGGTGTGAATGTTTTTATTCCCAAAGGATCCTAAGTTTAGAAAGATTTGGATACGAAATCTTCGCAGAGATCGTTTTACGGTCACAGATTTTTCTAAGCTGTGCTCCAAGCATTTTACGGCGGACCAATTCAAAATACATCCCGCTTTAGCGAAAAAGTGTGGTTATAAGAAGCTGGATCTTCGAGCAGATGCAGTTCCAACCCTGTTTGACATTCCGACGACGAAGACAGAGAAAAAACTGAGAAAATCGACTGCTTACTTTAAGCGAAGGACGATAGAAGTACGTTTTGTTGCCTACATTTAAAAAATTGTTAAAACAGTATGTCCCCAATTAAATTCTTTGACAAAAATGTTTAATACATTAAAATGAAAATAAAAGAATATTCCAGAGAATTCTGCATCCATCAAAATAAATTTAAGACACGTCCTCCAAGAAATTTGTAGAAGCAATTTTTATAAAAACATACCCCCCTCTCCCGCTAAAAAAATAAAGTAGTGCATAGCGAGTCATCGAAGTATTGACAATGTTTTGCTACTAGGCCTATAAAAACGTAATTACATGTAATTGAATATAAAAGTATATTATTCCGTCGTAATACTGATAAATACACACACAAATACATGTATATATATATATATAGAGAGAGAGAGAGAGATGTAATGAAATTAATAGAGCTCTTGTTTACAAGATCCTGTTATACATGTCTTTAAGGCACTGGGGGAGAATGATGAAGTGAAAGATGATGCAAAAGAAGCCGATGTCAATGAGCAGTCTACATTCAGCTCTCTTACAGATATACTGACAGATACTAGAACCAGCGAGACCAGCGCGACTGCTTGCAACACTGAGCCAAACACTCAGTTTAATTTGGTAAAGCCCATATGATTGCATTTCTGTATTACTAAGTAATAATATTCTATGTCTGTATTTAAAAAAAAAAGTTTAAAACTCAAGTTCAATAATTATTAAGGGAAATGATAGCTTGGTAAACTCACTTTTTCATAAGATTGACTTTAAGTTTAAATATATAAATAACATTAAAAATGTAAATTAAATTGTATATAGAAATTAAACAGTGATTTGATGTTTTAATTTTACAGGTATCTGAAGCAACAGGGATGTCACATCAATTCAACGTGTTTACCCAGACTTCTCTAAACCAGTGTGTAAGTTATTAAAATGCAAAATATTTAACAATACTTTTTTTTTTATAATTTAATATGTATTTAAAAAGGAATATTCAAATACACGCACAGGAACGTCAAAATATCATGATACAAGCATCTCCAGAAACCAAGGAAATAGGTGTTCAGACGGACATTACCTTACCCAATTCTAATCATTTGGCAGCAGAATTTGATGATGATGATGACATGAATACAGATTCTGATCATTCTGACATTGAAGACTCAGACATTGAATGGACATTTCCGGATCAGGACAGTGACGAAGGAGATATTACACCAGAGACCAAGAACGACATGAATGGGGATACCAAGTTTATCGTGTACAAGAGCAGTCTTGAACATCTTCTACCCATGCATTGCTTGAACTGTGGCATCAATTTCCTCAAAACTGATTATACTTGGAATGTTCTAGGTACGTAACATTTATTAGGGATAAATTTATACACAGATATAAAATCTGTCTAAATCTGTACATTACATATTTTGTTTATAAAAATATTCATTGTTTACTGATTCTGAATCACAATAGTACGGTATAGTACCTGATAGGATATATTTATATTTGATATTTTGTTTCAGGCACTGTTGTCAGTGTCCATTCTACATGCAAAAAGTGCAGCATCTCCTGGGAATGGGCAAGTCAACCTTTCTCTGGTATGATGCCTTGGGGAAACCTTATTGTTGCTGCTGCTATATTATTCAGTGGATGCAGTCCTGTTAAGGCTATCAACTTCCTGAATTTCGCAGGCATCAGGTGTTTCAGTTACAGGACATATAATGCCCTACAACAGCTCTACCTTGTTCCAGCAATTGAGCAGGTATTGTATTTTTTGTATATCTTATAATTCTACCATCAAAGGTATATAAAACTGAAGATTTCACCTTCTCTAATTTGGTTGGTTAACTAATTGAGATTATTGATCAATAGGTGTGGCAGCAGAAGCAGCAAGAAATGTTTGAAGAAATAAAAAAGAAAGACCATGCTGTTAAGTTAGGTGGGGATGCCCGTTGCTGCTCTCCTGGACACACTGCAAAATTTGGCTCATACTCGGTCATGGACTTAAACACTTCAAAAGTTTTGGATATTCAACTTGTTCAGGTTTAATTTAGGAATGACTCTAATTCTTGGCCAAATTATTCGAGTATAACCTGGTTTGGGTCAGTTTACGCTTTATAATCCGCGAAGCGGATTATAAAACAGCGTAAACTGACCCAAACCAGGTTATACTCAAATAATTTGGCCAAGAATTAGAGTCATTCCTTATAATTTAATTCTAAAATCATTAAACAACTGTGGGTGTAAAATTTCGTTGCTTTTTATTAGTTCAAATTTGCCGCTCAATAATACAACCCTAGTAACGGAAGTGATGGGAAGCAAGGGGAGGTAAAAACTGATACATAGTCCTAGCAGCCATGTTTTTTGTTTACATGTGGTAAGATCCGAGTTACTGTTTGAAGCTAAAGGTACATTTATTAAATCTGGAATTTTCCATGAATCCCGAGGACTGGAAATGAGAAGATTGCATGGATACAGACGATTCAGCTGGTTGTCAGGGGGGGGGGTGTCCCCATACCAAACCAGGTTATACAGAAATAATTTGTGTTCCTTTTTGGATATTAACCAATCAGAGGCTAGAATACAAACAAAATTAAATTATTATCTATATAATTATAAAATATTTTAAAGTTCTACATCCAGAGTTTATATGTATATTGATTGTGATGAAATCAAATTTATTATTAGTTTAATTCACACTACCATCATGCTCTCAAGTACTATTTGAATTCTATTCAGAGCAATGAAGTGCAAAACTCATACCATATGGAGCTTGAAGGACTAAAAAGGTGTTTGGGAAAGCTTCACCAGGAGGAGATACAGATATCTCATCTTGTTACTGACAGACACAGTCAAGTTAAAGCCTACATGAAGCGCGACCAACCACAGATTGTTCACATGTTCGATGTTTGGCATGTTGCTAAAGGTATATACATTTTCTGTTGTATGATTAACATTAAAAGTGAAAATATTAGGGATGGGACGATATATCGATTCTGTGTGAGAACTATACCAATATCAATATGTATGTAGAAATGTTGAAATATCACAAATTTTCCTGACTATTTTTCATTGAAAACTTAATATCTCAAGTATAATATTAAAAATAAATATGCTTAATATATCAATTAAAGAATGAATTGCATAAAAATTAACACTACTTTTGTGAAATATTTTTGTTTTAAAACAGATATAAGCTTCTATGAAAAAAATATTCTTATTTTTAAGAGTTTGTTTTGCTTATTTCAATGCAAAAAGATTTTAGAACTAATTCAAAATATTGTGATACGCATCGAAACGTAGCACAAATATCGGAATATTATTGACATAGAAAAAGTCGAATCGTCCCAGGCCTAGAAAATAATGCCAAATGTAACAATAGTGACAATATCTTTTCAACTCTATAGGAGTCTACAAAAAGCTGGAAACTCTCTCAAAAAAGAAAAACTGTGAACTAGTTGGGGCATGGGCACACTCTATTAGTAATCACATTTATTGGTGTGCAGCTTCAAGTGATGGGAATGGAGAGTTGATTTTGGAGAAATGGGTTTCCATTTTAAATCATGTAACAGATGTACATGAAGGACACGGGGAACTGTATCCAAGATGCCTTCATGGACCTGTTGATGATAGACAGTGGATTAGGAGAGGTACAATGCAAGTGTGGATCTGTTCAAATGAACATACATACAATGATTGGATTTGCAACTGAACACTATTGTCATTGTAAATATGAACAGCTTAGTTACAATGAAACTATAGGCAAAAAATGTAATATACCGATGGCAAACTTGCACTCATACAATATAACAATATATAGAATGAATATAATTCACTTATGAAACCTCAAATTTTTGCACAATTCATGTCAAAACTGCACATACATATTTATTAATGCTCTTTTTTCGTTTAGGATCAAAGGCATTCCTAGAACTGGAGACGGTTGTTAGGGGACGAATGCTGTTGACGGACATAAAGCAACTATCTCATGTTGGCCAAACCTCATGCTTAGAGGCTTTCCATAAAGTAGTGTGTTCTTTTGCACCAAAAGCTGTACACTTTTTTTATATACAGATGCAGGCTCGGTAATATTCTGAGAATTATTAGAACATATTCAATATAAAATGATAAAAACGTATAAAGATATTGAGCATTGATTTTTACCTTTAAAAGCTGATAAACTTTTAGACCGCATTAAATATTTATAATATAAATTTTCTCAATAGGATATACCTAGCAGCTCTGCATTTCAATGAAAATGTAAGCAGGCCACAAAGTAGAACAAGGGAGGGAGAAAAGCAATACTCCGTCTCTTATCCAAAAGGTCGACATGGAGAGGGAGTTGCAAAGGAAGTTAAAGTTGATCAAACTTTCAGTGAGTTCAGTCCTTACAATTCATGATTGATTTTTACTAAAGCATAAATTAAATTCAGTTATAAGTTATACTGATCATGCTGATGATGTGAAGAAAATATTATCTTAAAGTTTTTGATTCAATATATATCAGTAAATATTAATTATTTTATTCCAATTTAGATTATATCTCTGATCTGATGGATGCAGTTGTTGATCTGCGCACTGTCAACGACAGCTATTCAAAAGCAAGGGATGCAATTAACTTGCCTAGGAGACTACCTGAACCACTGTCACAGAGCACGCCAAAGCCACCAAAACATGATACAATTCAGAAACATGTCACTCGTTTCAATGATAATTGATACTAAAGGTGTGTCAAAAAATTTCATTCTGAAATCTCTTCACATTATGTAATACACTCCTCACATGTTTTTCATTAATAGCTCAAAAGAAGCTAAGCTAATAACCGTACCAAAGTAATAATACAATGCAATTTTTTTTTAAATCTTTTTGCATACATATTGCACCCTGCTTGAAAACATGTACATCTAAATTGAGTGACAAAATTTTATCTTCAATACATCAATTTTTTTTTCTCCAGGGTACCGAAATCCACAATATTGCTGGCTAGGAAACTTTTTTCTTATAGCATCAACAACACATGCTGGAAGGATCCTCCTGTTGTGCCTTCCTAATCGTCTCCAAATAAACCTTGCAAAACGGCGATAGGCAAGGTGTCGATAAAGCCTAACAGTTAAAAAAAATCATTTAAAAATGATACAAAACTTATTGGCATAAAATAAAGTAATGATGTATATCCCTGAAAGTTTTCTTACATTGTTTATATTTGTCTATTGCCAATTGTGCCTGTTTCATGAACTTACTCATGAACTGGTTCATCATCGCCAATGGGTCCATTGTCCTGAATATACTCATAGTAAGACAACTTCAAGACATGATGATTCAGGCAATTAACAACAAAACTGTCATGCTCAGTGATGCACCTTAAGTTTCCTTTATGTACTTTTCTTGCAACATCAGGTATCCCAAAGCAACATTTGCACTCCCTTGCAGTTTTCATAATGACACAATTGCCACAACTACACCTGTGTGATAAAATACTAACTTTTTTTTGTCAATTAACATTTCATGTATCTAAAACAGAACGAGTATGAATGATTTGAAGTCATGGTTAGGCCAGATTTAGTGATAAATGTGGAGGTACATGTATCATGCTTGGATCTGGGACCCCCCCCCCCCGGATTTTGTAGAGTTAAAAAATACCTTTGACCTCCCATAGAAAAAAAAAATCTAGATCTGCGCATGTGTATGTCCTCCTTTCTTTTGAAAAAAAAAACTATCTATGATACATGTATGTCTCTTTTATTAAATGAAAAAAAAAACTTATATAGAAACGTAATTGTTTAATTCTGATTAAAAAAAATAGATAAACCTAATCATTTAAATTATGATCACCATCTATATTCAAAATGATTGAAATTAACATACGTTTGTTTCTTTTATTATTTAAAAAAAAAACTTACAAATATTAGATACATACATTCAGAAATTTAATTGTTTAATTCCGATTGAAAAAAGAAATAGATATATAAAACCTATTCATCTAGATTATGATCACCATTTATTTTCACAATGATTGAAATTAAATATAGCCCTAGTCTATAGACTATAGATACACCGTCTTTGTCGAGGAAATTCTGATCTGGCTGTAGAATATTCAGCTGGTATATAGATGCACTGTACTGTTTAGCATAATATATTAGATGTTGTTGTTGTTGTTTTGAAAAAAATTGCTTAAAAGGAAAATATCAAATGTATCTGTTTACCAGTCAGTATTACTCGGAACAGGTTCGGAATCTTTTTCATCTTCACTGGATTCAGACGAGGATTCTTTGATCTGGCCCGCATTCGCTTTAAAAACAGGTTCAAACTGATATCCCTGCACAACAAACTCTGGATCCTCATTTAAAAACTCCTCCAAAGGCTCCATTTCGGGAAAAACGCTGCTGTTCTTAGCCTTTGTTTTGATTCACAAAATTGAAAGTTGGCTTTTGTGACGTCACACAATCGGAAAATCAAGAACGATAAGCAGGAAGCGATTTTCTTGAGCAAGTAACTTTGAGCTTTGATTTCTTATTCTTAATATTATTTATAATTTGGTCTGATATTTTTAATGAAGATTTTGAGGTACAAATTTGATATTTACGGGGGAAAAAACTACTATTAACATCTGTCTCCTATGACCTTTAAGCACAGGCACTTGTTTCGGTAATAAATTTTTAACCCATAGTATAATAATAACACAAGGTATCCAACTCCGAATTACACGGAGTACCCCCCTCCCCCCAGAATCGCACTCATTTACACTTTCAGAGGAAATACATTGACAAACTGTTTATACCTATGTTTACTACGATAATTTATCTACACAACCATATATGGCATGCTTGTCTTTATTTTCTTTAGCCTCCGTAAACAGCGTCAAAACTCTACTCGCCGTGTGGAAAAGTCGAATTCAACCATGAAATGGTATGTGCTAATCCCGCACACAGATTTTGATTGGCTAAAAATCTGTTTCTAAAATTACATCGGATAAACATCGAAATGTTTTCAGGGAAAATCAGACGTAAACAAGTTCTATTTACTTATGCAATATTTAAACACTGGAATTGAATTTTTAAACCCACTCATTTTTTAATTTTGTTCTCTGTGCGGGATTAGCACATACCATTTCATGGTTGAATTTGACTTTTCCACACGGCGAGCAGAGTTTTGACGCTGTTTACGGAGACTAAAGAAAATAAAGACAAGCATGCCATATATGGTTGTGTAGATAAATTATCGTAGTAAACATAGGTATAAACAGTTTGTCAATGTATTTCCTCTGAAAGTGTAAATGAGTGCGATTCTGGGGGGAGGGAGGTACTCCGTGTAATTCGGAGTTGGATACCTTGTGTTATTATTATACTATGGGTTAAAAATTTATTACCGAAACAAGTGCCTGTGGCCTTAAGGGTGAGATTTATGACAGTCTGAGACATTTTAAACCAAGTCTCTGAATAAATTAGATTTTGTTGACTTGTTTGCATTTATGCATTTATTTTTATTATAGTGTGTTCGGTACCACATAACATGCGAGAATACCTTCTCCGGTATGTTGGAGAGAAGATAAGCAAGAAAAAATCGCGTGAGAAAATGAGAAGTTGACAGAAAAAGATTTTTTTCATTATCGAAAAGGACATGTACAACATCCATAATGGTAAGAAAAGATAATTATTTATAGTCATATTTATTTGTTTCTATAATGTTTCTTTCGATAACTTTTCACTCATATTGAAAAGCCAGCACTTGAGAACCTCTGTACTCAGGACCCTTGAGCAATGAGTAATTTTGTTCATGCCAGCACCTACTACAACATGGGACCTCAGTTTCATTTGAACACCGGTCTCCACATCCTGCAGTGGGATTCGAACCTGTGATGTTAGGATCAACTCCTTTATCTGTGACTCTAAAGCAAACACTTAAACCACTGCGCCATGCAAGCAGCTAGTCATACATGTATTCCTTATGATGTGAGCTAGCATGATGAAAATTACATGTGCTGTAGATCATAGGTTGCAACATAGTTCTTTGTATGTTGCGCTAAAAAAATATGGTGTTCATCAATGATTCATTTTGGTGTGCATCCTGCGTAAATTATGCACAAATTTTGCTCAGGACGCATTATTTTAATAAATGTGCATCCCAATGGACGCAATAAATTTATAGAAGAACGTGTATTATTTGGTATAATCCGATTTTAAACTTGACCGATTGCATCATATCCATGTGCTAAGCGATATGCATGAACAATTTTAACAGGTATATATAAGGTTGCCAACAACAGGTCAGATTTCACAATTGCAGCCAATTAACCAGCAATTATCAGAAAATATTTGAAAGTTAGATAACATAGTTCGATTATCACTGATTATGTCTATGCTGTGGAACATTTCTGAAGCGAATACTATACCTTTGTAAAAGGTATACATGTAACCTGTATCATTTTTTGTTGTTGTTGTTTTTTCCTTACAAGCTAAGAAGTTTAAAATTTAATCATTTTTATTTCTGACTGTTTTTTCATTTCTTCTTAAAAATTCTTTATTTCATTCTGCTTCTGCATTTTATGACTGATACATTACAATGTGTGAGATCGTATGTACGATCTAAAAATAGAACCAAAGTGCACAGTTGACAATATATTATATTTATGACACAAAATCATGTACTCTTACTTGGACAATTGATAGTAAAATTATAAAACTACTCACAGCAACAATAAAGCATTTGCTCTTTCGTGAAATAACTTTTTATATTTCACCAGAATTTCCTCTGTAATATCTAATATATGACCCTTGGATTTGGATGCTCCGATTTTGTCATGGGACTCATTGTTGTCATTTAGGGGGGTCCTTTGGACCCATGATAACCATTTTCAAAATGAATCACTGGTTCATAGGTCTGGGACTAAAAGTTTATAAGGACATGCTATCTTAATATCACCCACCCATTATCATCTGATCAGCATGATCAGTACTATTAAGCAGGAAAACAAATATTTGAAGAGACATACTGTAAAAATAATTTTGTAAGATCTTGGAAAACATGTAATTTTGGAAGTAGATTGACATATAAGTATATAATTTTTTTTGTGGATAACAGTTGATTAGGGTAGGTGGTCACTGGTGTGATTTTGACCCATTATCTGATTAATTTTCATACTTAACTTAAGTTTTGTTCGAGTATATGTCAGTGTTTGTTATGCTACAACGTTTTCTGGGTAATTTTCTCTATGGAATACCTTTTTACAAGATTTCTTCTTTTTTTGGAATTATTTATTGAATTTGCGAAATACATGTGTTCAACTTACAAGATACATGTGTTGGATTATTTCTAGTTAGAACAATCTAACTTTGTCTCGGAACAAGCCCTCGATCACCACAGTTAGAATATGTCCCATATACTAGCAATGTAGCATATTGGAAAGGATCCGCTCAGAAATGATTTTGAAGAATACAAAAAAAAAAAAATTGCACTGAAAATAACTATCAAATTAATCATAACAAACCTTTTTGAGATTTTATATGCCTTTTAACCTAAAAAATAATCCATAGAAATAAGAAAATTCAACTCATTTTCTCAACCTTTTTTCCTCGCTTCAAAGGACAAGGTATGGTAACGGCTGAATCTTATTTGATGTAAAAATCAGAACATAGTTAAAATAGTGATAGTTTGTAGTTAAGAACTAAAAATGATGCTTGTTTTAAAACCAGCACTAATTTTGATTCAAAGCTTACACGGAGACCAGAAGATCGAGGGTGCAGAAGTAGGACAATTTCCTGAATTTTCTCAATTCTATTGGAATATCCTCAAATTTGAGATACTTTTCACTTCGGGAAACATAGAGCACAAGCTTGCCTATCTGAGATTTTTATACATAAGATGCATCTGATACTAGTATATGAAATATATAAATTTGGTAGATAGGCAAGCTTGTGCTCTATGTTTTCTGAAACAAAATGTGCTGTAAAATCGATGAAAATTTGCATAAAATGAGAAAATTCGGAAATTGACATATTTTCTGATCTTCCTGTGACCTGTATGTATCACATAACTTAGAACCAATACTCATTTTCTGGCAGGGGTGACAACAGGTTTCTATTGATAAACTGTTGTATCATTCTAAACAACACCCCAAACCAGGTGCCAAAAAGGGGTCTATAATTAGCCTATCTTGTCCTTTACATGCCATGCTGAATTCGGAACTCTCTGGATTGTTCATAGAAAATGCAGTCAGTTCGAGTTATCGAACTTGCTTATTTTGATAAATTGCCAATACACGAAACGAATTCTATCTTTAAACCAGGTCCGTAGGACAATATCATTTTAATGATGAGAACATTCTAATCTAGGTTATTGAGATCACAGCAACAATATATAAACAAAATTAAAATTGAAATTATAATTCGCATCATCTCTTTTAAAAAAGAAAATATAATAAAATTCATATTATTTTGTAAAACCAAAAAATATTGGTTTAAATATACTGACAATAAAAAAAGAGACAATAATTCTCAAATTATGAATAAATTTAAAACATTGAGTGCACCTACAAGCACAGATCCCATGATTTGTAATATAATGCACACACAGGCATGTAAATCAAACATACAGATTTTCACTGATTAGCTAATATACATGTAGAACTAGTTTCAACTAAATACTCGTACAAATACAAAAGAAAAAAATAATTATTTTCCAAGCAAATAAAATGAAGAAATTAAAAGTTTTTGATTTTATTTTGATTTAAAGATTATCAAAGAATATTTAAGTCGAACTTCATGAAAAAGAAAAGCTGAAATCAAAATATTTGTATCAATTTAAATGTCATGCTTGATAAATTTTGGAAATACTGACAGATACACCCTTGCATAACACATATACATGACTAAAATTGTAAATTTTAGAGACTTTGGATATGCATGGTGTCAAACTTTGTCTCATTTTAATATAAAATGAAAAAATTACAACCGATTAAAGATATTGTGATCTGTATTGTAGCATAAATATTGTGATACCTAAGTATAACTATAGTATATTAGATATAGAATAGTAGACGAAAGTGTATTATCCCAGCCCTTTATATTTGCAGTGCAGTATAAAACAGTTCAATTATATAATAATGAAGTCAAGAGAATATGTACATGATTATATGTAAATTAATAGATTTTGTTTTCATTTTTGCAGGTGTGTCTGATGGAATTTGTCATTTCATTAATAAATAATGCTGATAAAGATGCAAACTTAGCAATTGTGACAGCTTTGACAAGGAAATATATCCATATATTACAGTTACTGGTACTGTATGAATGCAGTGAAAGGATCCAGATGAACAGATGAAGAGATTAAGTACAATGTACATCAATTACTTGGATGAAGAGAATCTGCAACATGGGGTAAGGTATATTTGCTGCTTTATTAGTTATAAACTGTAAATAAATTGTTAGCAGAAAATAGACACAAAAGCTTTAATTAAAGCAAATCAGGGGTAAATACTAACTTTTAAAGCATGCAGATACTCAGTGATAGACTGATAGTTTGATAGTATCATAAAAACCAAAAGAACTTCAGTGACTTTGAATTCCTGATAGCCCTAGCTGTTAATGAACTAGTTGCCCATTACAGCCTTTGGCTGCTTATGGAGTCATGACGTGATTGTTGGGGGAGGAGGAAATGAATTCCCAGTGGAGATGGGTATGAAGGTTAAAAATAGGGCCACAAAGAACCAGGTTATGGTGAGGCAGACTTGCCTCCTTACATTTTATTGTAATTATTTAACCCTTCACTCTTCATGAGTGAAATAATTCTCGAATGGGACATAAAACAACACTCAATCAATCGGTCACACTTCACTCGCTGTTCACAGCACTTGTTGCTCTGTACTGGGCACTACTGGCTCACTTAAGCAGGTTAAGTTCAGTTTGGTGTTTACTAGTCATTCCAATGATAAATAAGTCTGAAGAACATTTTTTGTGAGTTGACTGCACAGCAGTGCAACACCTAGGGATCAATTTACCTGGCATCTGTCTGTCTGTCCATCTGTCACACCTTATATCTCAAGAATTGTAAGAGGTTTAATTGTTTTTGATATTTGGTTAATATTTTGCTTGGCACTCTGACTTTTTTTAAATACCATGGTTGCCAATCTTGTGACCCTTGAACTTACCTTTGACCTACTTATAAAAAAGTTTAAAGTGCCAATATTCAGCATATTTTTGATAATTTAAAAGAGGTAAGTCTATGCTATTAATAGCATGTGCACAATTTATCATAAATTATAATGAAAAATACCAGCATTATAGTTCACTTGACTTTGACCTTTGTTTTACTTTTCAAAAAATATTTTGAATGGTTAATTTAACTTAAATGTTTTGATTTTCTAGAAGTAGTGTTTTGATAATTAGCATTGATGAGCTCATGTCACTCTACTTTGAAACTTTTTGATATCCAGTTATCACACAAACTAAAACGTAAATCCTATGAAAACAAATCGGGATCAGTATACCACAATGGGTGGTAATGTAGACTGACAATTGCAGTAAAGACAGCCTGAAATCTCTTTAGAAAAAAACTGTTGAAAAGATTATTGACCATTATATGGTGACGTCTCTATTTTAGTGAAAAATTCTTAAACAGGATGTAAAACGACATACAATTAAACAATCAATCCAACTACTGAGTGAGCTTTCTAGCTTGTGAACTACCAATTATGTCCAATTGGAAGTAATATTTGAATGTTTTAAAATGTGATTGTACATTGTAGGAAATAATGTTCCTATAGAAAAGTCAAAGAATGTATACATGTGAGATTCTGAAGTAGCCGTACATGATGAGTAGGAATTTGAAGTGAATTATGGGAAAAGGTATGTAATCCATTAGTTTGCTTTAAAGTTAGTGATTTTAAATCTGAACACACTGTGTAAAAGGAATTTTTCCGCCATATTCCTTTATTCACGCTATATTGTAGGGTCCCTATATAAGCCACTCACTTAGTCACTGTTCAGTGTAATCTGTTGTCACCTGTCTGTATAGACAGACTGACGTATGCTACATAGCTCTGGGTAGCGACAAAAAATTACTGTGTACTTCTTTCACGGCAGAAGAGAAAGATGCCAATGAAACTTACAACAGTCGCACAGGTCAGTGCAGTATACAAACATACACAAGTACACGTAACAGCAATAAAATAAATAAACAAAGGCAATGCAAGATAACCAGCATGAGCATGTGTCACCATTCCACTCCAATACCTGTGACAATAAAGCAGTCAGGTGTAACAAATGCGAAGAGTATACCCTGGTGCTGATATAGTAGATGATATATAATCGAATATGGTGTATGCCTATTTATGAGATGTGTTCAGCTTTAATTGATTGCTTTTCTCTGACTATATGTACCATAGGTCATAGTCATTTATGGTATATTCAGTGGCGCCATGTTTATCCGAACACTTCACCTTCCAGATGCTATTTTTCGGGAATAGATTTTTTCCATGTCATTCTGTCTCATTAATCCAGAAATTCGTGTTCCACATCTGAAAGGTCGATTTCTACTACAAAATGTAATAGTTCATTGAAAAATGACTCGTTTATCCGGATGGTAATTTTTCAAGAAATGACTTTTTCATACTTATCTTCAGGGGTTGAAATTTTCCTGGAAATCCCACTAGCCCAGGGGCTACTGATTAGGAAAAAATTACTAGCCCAAATAAGAAACAGTTCAAAATTAATCAATATTATTTTTAACAAACTTAAGCCAAAGAGGCGTCCGGATAAACAAGGCACCACTGTATATATCTATAATACATGCGTATAAATGTATTTGCTATTAACAGTGAGTACAGTAAAATTTTCCCATTAAGTATATTATTTTTTTTCTATGTGGTTTACTTTATGCCCAATTATCAGCAGTTTCCATAAATGCCATATTTAAGTATAAGAACTAGGTTGCTATAGCAGACAAAAGGTAAATATAAAAAATCTAAAGTGCAAGGTACTTTATCACTGATTGAATGTTAATTAGGGCCTGCATGAAATGTTAAAGCTATATAGGATTCACATTGTCCATCTTTATGTCTTTCAGCCAGCAATTAACACTTCAGTTGTGACAAAATAAACAAGTTTTAGTTTATGCAGTGTAATACTATACAGGGTATTGATGCATACAGTAAATGAGATCATTAGAATGGTGTATTTATATACTGTATATACTTGATATCAACAACTTTTCTCAGTGGTCTACTTTATGCCCAATTATAAGTGGTCCCCTCAATGGCCATATTTAAGTATAACATATGTATAAGTACAGGTTGCTATAGCAGACAAAGGTAAATATAAAAATCTAAGTGCAAGGTACTTTATCGCTGATTGAATGTTAATTAGGGCCTGCATGAAATGATAAAGCTCTATAGGATTCACATATTGTCCATCTTTATGTCTTTCAGTCCAGCAACACTTCAGTTGTGACACAATAAATAAGTTTTAATTTGATATGCAGTATAATATAATTCCGGATTTTCGTAATGTTTGCTTGTAAGAGTTATCGTTCCTGCGGGACGGTATATAAATTTCCGGTTAGGCTACGAAGCGAAGAAAAACATGGGAAAATATTATTGTTGTGTCACAAAATGTCACAATTTTAGTGGCAGGGTTGGTTCATTTGGAAGGCATGTAACTTTACATAAACTTCCTAAAGAAGTATACACAAGACGTGCGTGGATTCGCTTGATCAGTAGAAAAAACTGGAAGCCAAGTAGTTATACTCGTGTGTGCTCAGATCATTTCAAAGATGGTGTCGGACCAACTTCCCAGCAGCTGCCCAGGACAGAAATAAAATACCGAGCGAAAACTTGCCTCAAAAACAGAAAAAGATACTCGTAAGAAGGGATCCACCCAAGAGAATATGCAGGGGCCCAGAACGTGCAGACAATTCAGTTAATACCAAAGACAAAGCAGGGATATTGAATCACCATTCGTGAGTACTACACTGTACATGTAGCATTCAGTTGCTATCTGATACTGTAATTATGGACTCATAGATTGACAACCATAATCATTCTGAAGTATGAGAAACATAAACACATATTTATTGTTTATATGAAGTGTTTATAGGCAACTATTTCAATTAACAGTATGGGGCTCATGCACCACCCCCTTCCCTTCTTAATTTATTAAATTACAGTGAGTTGGTTTACATTTAGAAGAATGTTTACTGTATCAGAATATCTCCTGGATGCTTTTTATATGATTGGACATATAATGTGAATTTTTAGCTGACCCAGTTAATGGACTGAACTGCTGAAACTGTTTTATATTAAATTTGTAGGTATCCTGCTAGTGAATTGGTTGATTTGATGGCACATGAAGAACCCAGTGGATCAGGAAATATGTCCAAAGAGACCCAAACCTTTTCACAGTCCTTAGTTTCTGTTGGAATAGATACCAACCTACCGGAGATTATGATTGAGTCTATACAACATTCTAATGAGTTGATGATGTTTTTACACAGGAATGACTGACAGTGACACTTTTTTGCAGTATTTTATTCGCTAATGGAACAAGGAGCAGACAAGCTGTCAACAGAGGTTTTGGGCACAATGAATAACAATAAGTTAGGTCGTAAAAGAAAACTGAGAAGGGTAGATGAATTTTTGTTAGTGATGATGAGACTTAGATTAGGATTACTGTTGAAAGATCTGGAATTCCGTTTTAAACTGTCTTCAAGTGCTGTGTCAAAAATTTTCAATTCCTGGATACTTTTTATGTATGAGTGCATGCAATCTCTTGTTTTTTTGCAGGAGCTTGAAGTTTTGAAGCTACATGTTCCTAAATGTTTCACAAATTTTTCAGACACACGTGTAGTTTTAGACTGCACTGAGATTTTCATCCAAAGTCCATCTTCTTTAGAAAACAAGTCCCTGACTTTTTCTAATTACAAATCACACGACACATTCAAAGCATTGGTTGGAGTAAGTATGACAGGGGTTGTAGTTTTTATTTCAAAACTCTGGCCAGGATCAGCTTCTGATGTTGAAATTACTAGAAATTGTGGTTTGATACATCTTCTTACGAGAGGAGATGCAGTCATGGTTGACAAAGGTTTTATTCATATAGCTAATGATTTGAAATGTAAAGGTGTTAAACTTTACTGTCCGCCTTTTAAATCAGAACTCCAGTTTAGTAGGAGTGAAGTAGAAACTACTCGTAGAATAGCTTCTGCAAGAATTCATGTAGAACGCAAGATGGAACAGATAAAGAATTTTAGAATTTTACAGGGTATTATGCCTTTAGCAATAAGTGACTTTGCTGACCAAATATTCTTTGTGTGTACTGCTCTTACCAACCTTCTACCACCCCTGGTGTCTGAATAAATTACTGGTACTTACTCTTTGAACATGTTATGTTTTATAAAAAACTGAAATGAATTGTTTTACTTTAATTTTATTTCTTAATCTTACTTTAATATGAACAGTATCACATGTGTATATTTTACATATACATGTACCCATTTACCCGGTGTATGATACATGTTTATTCATACATGTACCAGTATGTTGTACATTTGTATAATAATATTGTTTTTAATTTTGGATTGATCAACTAAAAGCTGAACACTACTCATAAAAGGCATAGTTTGCCATATTTTTCACTTACTCATCACTATCCCTACAATTAACCCCTTGCGTAAGTCCAGACCTCTTTAAACAGTTTAGAGTTCTTCGCTGTGCATGTCTCACCTGTGTGGACACACACTTTGCATTGCCATGTTATTCTGTCAGGATGGAATTATCAAACTTTATGCGCTTATTTTAAGGCAGGGGAAAAGTAACATCAAATATACAGGTTTTATAACAGTGTGCTTGTATTTATTTATGAGTAGTGTTCAGCTTTAACAATTTTATACATTTAAAAGTATGGTGTATCTAAGTAACTAATATTTACAGAAATACAGTGAATAATGTAAAACAGATCTTTAAACAATTTATACAAAGAAGACAAGTGTACTAAAACTGTAAACTCTCTCATCACCAGTTATTGAAGTTACACTCATACTTTGTCATTAAGGATGAAAACATGGTTCACCAATGTCAATATTGTCAAATGACACATGATATTAAAGGAAATAAAACATTGGATATATGCATAGACTATGATTTATCATTTTACACAAAATGATGCAATTCAAAGGCTCATAAAACTTCGTCTTAGTTTTTCAATTTTGGAAAGAGCTCTTCAATATAGAATTTATTTAGCTTTATGAGTAATGATTCCCAAAAAGAGTTGTCAAATTGAATGGGAATGACTAAAAAGTCTTTGATCGTATAAATAACAAAATCACATCTCTCCATTTGACATACACCCATTTGACCCTGCACCTGGGTATAATATTTATGACTTTTCTTTAACTGAATTGTATTGGCATCGTTAATATAACAACAAAATGTTTTATCCTTGCACGCTTCTAAAATAGTACACTGTCTCCATTTAAAAGGACACTTTACTTCCAAAAGATATTTGTGTGTTTCAAACTTCACTAAGCCATCAGGGCTTGCACCTAAGTAAGAGCAATGTGTATACAAAACCAGCCCCATATCTTCAACAATGACTTTCTGTTTTTTCTTCAATTTCATGTAAGCTATGTACCTTTTTTTAGCAATGGGTTCTTGCTTAATCCCCCAATGCACAGCACTATTTTCTAAAGGTTTACCCTGACCCAAGAGTCTACATATGATATTTTCCGATTTTGTGGAGTCTTTTTTTGTTTTAATTTCATGAAAATTTGAAGCTGTTATATGAGCTGCTCGAGCTGAAACCCACAAAGGATTGTTATGTTGCCCCTTAGTTCGAACTTCAATTTCATCAAC